AATATAAACAGAGCGTAAAGAGAAATTATAAACGATTACATCTTCATTTTGTTTTGGGATTTGTATTTCGTTATGCGACAATAAACAATAGCGCACAATTATTAAGTGCATTTTAATAAATCTGTTGATATTTGCCAAAATCCCATAGCTTCGAGAATCTTGAATCTTGGAGACCCCTCAGGAAATTGATCGTTTTTGGGGTGCCTGAATGTTCGGACCCTTAAAAAAGTTTTCAAAAAGACATTTTCTCCAAATTTTCATGGGAATATTTCTAAAAAACATTTAAAAATGTTTAAAATAGTGTTCTAAAGACATTTCAAGAAGACAAGGTGTTTTGCAAAAAGATTACTAATGAAACTTTTAAAAACAAGGTTAGCGGAATTTTTAAAATAAGTAGGATGATTGCCGAGATTCCTAAGTTTCTCAATTGTCCTTTTAAGAAAAGGTTAAACAGTTTTATAAAAAAAATTTGCAGTAAAGGTATCTACAAAATTATTGGGAAGGCTTCTAATATTGTGTACAATTATAAAATGTCTTAAATGTTAAAGAATTTTTTATGGAAATTGGTAAAATCACAAATATTAAAAAAAAGGTTTCTAAGGAAACCCTAGTAAGGCAACATTTTTAACATTTGGGAAGATTTCAATAAACCTAAACTGAAGCCTTTATAACGAGAATTCTAACAACGTTCTACTGAGGTTTCTAGCAATTAACTTTTAATAAGATAAGAGACTTATTTAAAAGGATTTTAAGAATTTTTCCAAGAACTCTTCTGAGATGATTCCTAAGGTACTTTCTAAGACGGCTTCTGGAATGGACCCCAAGGTTTGCTTTTGAATGTCTATGTCTAAAACAAGATCCCACTGAGGATTCCAAAACAAATCCGTTTCGGGCCTAATATTTTAATTTCAGAGTTTCGCAATTCTCTGATAGTTTCAAAGACGGCGTTCCACTGGTATAATTTCCTAAGACAGTGTTTCCCAAGCTGGGGGGGCGCGCCCCTGGAAGGAGGGGGGGGCACGGCGTTGTTAAAGGGATCCTTGATATGTTTGAGGCATATATTACCTTTAAAATACTTATATTAGGTATTTTGACCGGCTTTATGGTTCAGTGGTAGAGCGTTGGGCTATAAATCCGGAGGTCAGGTGTTCGAACCTGGGTTGAGGTGAATTTTTCGTCTGTGGCCAACCACTCCGTCAAAAAATTCACCAAGGTTTTGTTAAAATTATTTTTTGATATCTTTGAAAAGAAATGGAATCACCATGAAATTCTGCATAACTGCTGTTTTGTATCTCTTACGGTTTTCGAGTGCAAATACTGAAAATGAAAAAAAAAACAACACAGTAAGAAGCAAAATTTCTCAAAATTCAGGAACCCATCAAAATATGCCTCAGAAGCTTCAAATTTTTCTGAAACTCTGGAAACTGAAATTTTCTAGACTTTTAGACAATAGAAAAAGTTTGTCTAAAAAATCATGCGCCCTTTAGGCACTGTAAAAGTAACGGACGATATTCGCGACTTCGTTATTATTCACTACGAGAATATGTATCTATGAGCTGCAAATCATCAGGTTCCTACCGTATGTCATCCCCAGTGCGATATTCTTATAGTAGGTAAGAGTTAATCAATTCGTTTTTCGTAGTTCCTAGAACAAACTGTGCTTATGGAAAGAATTTAAAGGTTTAATACAGGGAAGTTTTCAGATATTCTGGAAAACCGCCAATAAATCACATTATCAATCGAAACGTAACTCGTCTCAGATGAACAGGCGAATTTTCTTAGTAGATTTTTTTAAACTAGACTAGTTACGCTTGCAATCCAATCACGTTACATACAAAAATCAACATTTTAATAAAGCAGTGTATAACCTTGTCCGCAAAATCGATTTGTTTCATATTTACAGAGAATCGAACTTTCTTAATAGATCTTGTCGTGTAAAATCAATAAAACTTAAGTTTTTACCACCCCATATAATGCATAATATGGTCTCTTTGTGTCGAAACACTCCCTAATTTTTAGTTCGTCTAATCTATATAAATAAAAATGAATGTTTGTATGTCTCTTCTGCCTGCCTAAACGGCTCATCCGATTGCGATGAAACTTTGGGGAATAGTTGGACATATGTCCGAGAAGGTTTCTATATAATAAAAAAAAACTGTCTGTCTGTCTATCTGCACGTATGTATGTCCCTAATGGCGCCTAAACCGTTCATCCGATTGCGACTAAACTTTTGGGGTTACACGTACGTCCCTAAACTGTTCATCCGGTTGCAGGACGAATGACTGCGAACGTTTTTTTTATAAACACCTAACAATGGCAATTTAATTTTCGCAATTTTTAAATGCTTATTTCATTATACCTCGCATTATACACTACATTCCATGCGCTTCATTATTTAACATTTCATAAAATTCATTCCAAATGTTGATTGTTTTTATCAGAATCCCTTACCTATACCTACATTTTTTTAGCGCATTTTTGAAAAAAATACGCTATTATATTCGTCATTGCTGGCAGGCCGGCTGTCCGCGTTAGATCTCCACAACTACAATAGCTAGAGAATTCAAATTTTCACTAAAAGCTTTCTGCTATAGTGTAGATGTGCAGGCACTAGTCTATTTTGAGTTAGATTACTTGTGAGATCGATAATTGAAGAAAATAATTTCGATATGGGTTTCGGAGGTACTATAATTTTACCGTTAGATAGCGCTACCAGTATAAAAACTTATTATTTACCTACCTTATGATTTGTTTTACAAAATGAAGACATACCGTCAATTGAAATTAAATAAAATTAATTATTTAACGCAGCCAAAATTACTCGTGAGATCGATAATTTTAAACTTCGCTAATAAAATACTGACCTGCATTACCAAAAATGCGCTTTAATCATGCATATGCTGATTTACAACTTGTTTTAAAAATGACTCATTCCGTTTTACGGCGGGTAGGTACAGGTAAAGGATTAGTCTGTTAGGTTTACAAGAAAGAAAGGATGGCAACGCTTTGATCTATATACAAGCACGAAACCCGAAGTGCAATATAATTTACAACTGTTGTGCATTCTTAAAAGGATGTAATTGTAAAGGCGATTTTTCGCAAGTGTTTACCTGTCGTATAATCTTTCTGACTGTTTGGATTTAATGGATTTCATTGCTAAGTAGGTAATAGGTTTTTGGTGAAACACTTTAAAAGTAGGAAGTCGATAATAGTTGGGTTGTCCCGTATTCACCGTTGCTATCGAAGACGTACAAAGCACACATCAATGCCGAGTAAGTATTGCAATTCGGTGAAATCGATATAATTAGCAGTTTTTGGTTTGGGAAATGCAACTGGATCTACAGATTAAATCATGTCCATTAACCTAGCAGAGCAAGGTCAGCAGAACACAATCAAACATATTGCATAATTAGGTGTTAATTAAATGCCCTATTCCCGAATTAAATGCTCCTTTTGTTTTAAATTATTACATGTTCTGCCAGGTTCATATGAACTCAGCAGAGCACTACCTCAAAAAACCAAGAAAATGAAAAGTTAACTAACTATAATTAGGTGCTAATTAAGTGTCCTATTCCCGAATTAAATGCTCCTTTTTTTTAAATTATGAACCTGGCTGAACATGTAATAATTTTGGAGCATTTAATTCAGGAATATGGCACTTAATTAGCACCTAATTATGCAATATGTTTGATTGTGTTCTGCTGATCTTGCTCTGCTAGGTTCATGGACATGATGAAATCAATTAATATGAACTGGGGCGCTACATCAGTATAGTAATGAAGCAGTATGGCGTATTTTATCATTTCCAATCCATGAACGACATCCAACAGTTGTTCATTTGGCGGTGCACCTTGAAAATGGCCAGCGCGTGTACCTCAGGGCACAAAATGTACGTGCAAGAGCATTGCCACCACCATCAACAACATTGAAAACTGGCGTGCTCATAATTCTTCTACGAAACATCAATCCACCACAACATTGTAATGGTACCAGGCCTACAGTGCTGATGAACAACATAATCGAAGCTACAATTTTAAAAGGAAATTTACAGTCCAAGATGTACTGTTGCCACACATCCCAATGATTATAACAGATATACCATTCGAATTCAAACGTTTGCAGTTTCCGATGCGTCTCGCCTTTAGAATGACCATAAATAAAGCGCAAGGGCAGTCGCTACAAGTGTGTGGATTGAATTTGGAATACCGGTGCTTCTCACATGGCCAGCTGTATGTGCCCTGCTCACGCGTTGGAAAACCTTCCGATTTATTTGTGTACGCACCAGAAGGAAAAACAATAGTTATTTATACATCAAGGGCATTGGCGATATTTATGCCGAGGGCGACAGAGCCCGAGGGCCTCCGGCTCGAGGGATTGTAAGTCGCCCGAGGGTTAAATATTGAGTAATGCCTGAGGTACATACAACATTTTATTTTTCATCGTTCCAAATGAAAAATAAAAAAAATTGTGTCTCCAAATGCACTTCAAGAAATAGCATTCAATCGAAAAGTGACAAACCTTTCTGGGTACCACGACTAAAAATATACATAATCAAACTTAAGTTATTAATTGTTTAGCACAACAATAAAGAATGTACTTTGGAAATAATATTTTTTATTTCAGTTTTTTAATTTCCGTTCGAATTAAATATAAATATTTATAGGTAAGACAGGACAATGTCTGTAGGGTCATCTACGACAAGGCGGTACGAAGTTCGCCGGGACAGCTAGTTTACAATAAAAATAGACGGGCTTCCGGTAAATTAAAAGCCATAACCAAACCATTGTTTCTACATTCTTAACAAATTACGGTAATAACATTACCTTTGTAAATGCCATATTATTTTTCGACCAATGGTCTATATATTTGCAAGTCGAATTCAGAAGGATCATATTAACATTTCCGGGTTAGTAAAGGAAACGATACTAGTGTTTTCGATCCCCTTGTAACACAGTAATAAAAAATCAAAATTCAAATGAAAAAAAGAATGTTTACCAAACCTGAATTTGAGACACTCCGAACGTGTAGGCAGGTAACGGTTCAACAGCAGAATTAATCACGTAATCGCCGAGCGTGACGTGCACTTGCCTAGGGGTTGCTCTCGCAACGCAATGTCCAGCAGTCACGACGTGCTTTCTGCTGACCAACGAACCTCCGCATCTGAAATTGAAAAATAGATTATAGGAAGTGCTACTTTATTTAAATAAAGGAAATTATTAATCTAGCTGTACGTTTAAATAATCGCCGAAAGCGTAAAATTTTCATGAAAGTAGCATTGCTGCATATACTTATTGCGGTTAATTAAACTATTGCATCCCGTTGAAGAACATTGTACGAAAGGAGGTTTTCGCAACGCATCGGATTTAATTTCGTGTGGTCGACGTGACAATGACTATAGTTTACAACTTTTGGAAGCATTTCGTGAGTTCTAAGACGGCAAACTTTATTGGGCCTATAATGAAATTATCCATTGTTTTAAAACGACTTGCGTCATAATTGACCATGTTGTATATTCGTTACAACTGTGCCATTTTTAAACTTTCGTAACAGTTCTATTAATTTCTTCCTATGTAATAAAAGAAATAGTTTGTTGAACACCTTAATTTGGTTAGGAAATGTTACGCATATAATATGTGCCCAGTGATATAATCAATTTTATGTGTCCATAACGAAACCCTTAAACTGAACAATAATTCTACTTAATGATCCGTTTATGGATCTAATAAAAAATAACTCGGTTTTAATATTGGTTATTAAAAATTAAAAATTATTGTTATTGAATGAATACAACTGACGTGCTCGCTGAAACCGAGACGGATGTGGGCTACTAAAAAAAAAACATCCACTATTAAATGTTCTTCCGAAGTACTTTGGGTTGAAGCACAAAAAAAACTCCCCGTACTTCTGTGTAGAAAACTGTGTACCGTCAATTCTTATTTCTAAAGCGTTCACGTTTCAAATCCGTACAGCATAACACTCCATTCCAAGCACTTTGCTATTCTTTTCCTTAGATTCATGTCCAATTTGCTGCACAGTATTCTATTTTTCCTTACAAATGCTTCATTGGCCATTCCAATGCCCTTTTTATTTATTTCCAACTATTTCTGCTCATTCCCTCGATTCATATACAGGGTGGTGACTTGCGTCGCGCATCATAGGGATTTCAATGTAAAATTCATAACATGCCATTATTGGCTCCCCAAATTATTTTAGACCAAAAATGTATTAAGGTTTTTTTATAGACAACAATTTTTTACGTCATCAACCGCGTTAGTTTCCAATTTTTTACATAATGAAGACAGAAAATTGGAAAAATAAAACCCGCATCTTTTTCAATAATCTGTGATGCCATGGAATTTTATAATACAAAAACTACAATATCCGTCATGCCATGGAATGTCTGCTATAAAACAAATCAAATTCTATCAAAAAGTATTATATTTAGAACAGCGAATTCACAACATAAAGAAAGACCAAATGACTAAAAACGGTTTCCTAATATAACAATTTACAATAAATGTTCGAATAAGTCACCATTAACTGCAAGGCAGTAACCAAGTCAATCATAAAATCCATTTCGAACTACTGCTAATTGATAACTGGACATCTTTTTGTTTTAGAAAATTCCATGGCATCGCAGATTATTGCAAAAGATGCGGGTTTTATTTTTCCAATTTTCCGTCTTTATTATGTAAAAAATTGAAAACTAATAAGGTTTATTGACGTAAAGATTTTTTTTCTACAAAAAACTTTAATACATTTTTGCTCTAAAATAATTTGGGGAGCCAATAGTTGCATGTTATGAATTTTACATTGAAATCCCTATGATGCGTGACGCAAGTCACCACCCTATATATCATTACATGGAGATGTTAGTTGTTTAATTTTTTACTTCATGAAGACAGATATCTGCACTGAAATTCCATTTAGCTTTACCTGATTTCACATCTCGCATTGCTCTTTCCACTTCATTAAGTATAATACTGTCTCCAGTATTGTCTGGACAGACCGATTTTTATGTTTCCAGTGTAAGTGTTATGTGTTATGTATTTCCTCTTCTTTCAGTACTTTTCCAATCCTGTATTGCACCTCATTGCAATAACCAACTCTTGATGATCTATCGCTGATAACCCCTTTAATCCTGTTGTAAATAATATCGTGCCTTCTTTTGCTTCAAGCTTTTCTATCTCATTACATTGATTTTCCCACCAACTTTTTCTAGCTTCATCAGGTTCATCAGAAAGACGCCATCACGCCAAACCTCGGAATGCGAATGGATCGAATGGAAGACGACTCTGGCAGAGAAAACGGACAAAAGAGCTTTCCAAACAAGTACAGTGCGGACCACAAGCCAGTAAAGCCAACGATGAAGTGGAGGCCTAAGTGGAAACGTTTTAGAAAAATTCATTGCATACAACGAAAAAGAATGCAAAATACAAGTAAAAGAACTGTACCTAAGAATAACTAAAGAATAACGCTTTTTTTCAACGCAAATTAGTGAAATTATAAAATTAAGAACTGTTGTCTTTAATTTCAGGTTTTCTCTTAAATTTGAATATGTACCTAGTATAATAATTTTTTATGCTACTGTGTCCAAAAAAGTGTACTCTTGAATAATATTTAATGAAAGATGAATGAAGAGTGTTCGAGACAACATTTTCACCCTGTATTTAAAATATATTATTTAACAACAGGCGAAGGGGAAATAGAAGACTTAACAGGGGGGACGAAGACAGTAGGCAGCAAATAATGGGAATACAAAATGACATAACATATACAATATTGTACGGGCGTGTGGGATAGATGGATTGAAGGTGACAGAAAGAAAACGCCCAGAATATCATGAAGAAATGTGGTGGATGAAGAGTGGTATATGATAATCAAAATCGTTTAGTCCAGTACTACCCCACAAACAAAAACCAGACTTCGAATGAAACAACTCTGATTGCAAATGTAACGGCCAATCGCAGTAGTTTACAATCCCTTTCATAATGTTTACTAAGCTTAAATTAAGTTGCAAAATAAATACTTAGATTATTAAATAGCCCGACTGACTAACAATACTACCATTAGGTAGTAATTGCTTACACTGCTGTCTATTAAAGCTTATTAGTAGCGCATGGATTGAAACAATACAAATGAGAATAATACGTAAATTACATACAGTAGTGCAATGCGGAAGAGCAGTATATTGTGGGATATAGTTCTTTTTCTTGTAGCTCGTGATTTACAGTATCAAAAGCGTTACTGATGTCCAAGCACACTAAGAAAACGGCCTCTCGCTTATCAAAGCAACATGAAAAATGGTTTGCTATTTTCAGTAGGGATGAATTTGAACTGTGGTGTTTTCTGAAACCTGATTGTTGTTCGTTCAAGATTTTATTTTGATTTTAAAAACCCACAAACTGTTCGTGCATATACGAGTATTTCTCCATAAGTTTTGAGAGCACTGGGATAATATTTATCGGTCGGAGATCGCGCATAATATACTCTGCACTTTAACAAGTGGAGTGATAACTGAACGCTTCCATAGATCAGGGAATACGGTATGATCTAACCCTAACGAATAATTAATGATGTGTTGAAGGGCTTCAATAGCTTTTGTCGGTAGTAAGTTTAACATTTTGGTATCAATTTCGTCATAGCCACCAGCACTACGGTAAGGTTAAATTTTTCCTATTCACATGGTATTAGCTAATGGGTAGATATTTACATGTAGACATTACTATCCCTTTTTCCTGTTTTTAGGTATCCCATTTAAAAAAATGTCAGTAATTTTAACACAAAATACACGGGCAGTAATTATCAAGAATTTTTATACATAAGTCTCCCAAAATAGAAAATTAATTTCGTTTAATTTATTATCAATCTATTTATACAAATAAACCCAAAATTAACAAAATTCTGTGCATAGGTACTTTAATTCCAATGACTCACAGAAGTTTAGAAGGTTTAAAACGATGAACCAATGCAACAATTAAAGAATATACATATATTCGGATAGTTGAATATCATTAACATACTTACGTTGAGTGATTATGTAGAAACGCATGTTTCTTTAAATATTTCGAAAATTATTAGTTCTAGCGCACTATATTATTAGAATTAGGTAATAGACTTAAATGTTCTACTCTGAATAACTCAACAAAGCGAAACAGATAGGAAAATATGCGTTATTTAAAAGTCTTCCTCCGGTGTGTTTAGTAACGTTACGACCGTGCAGCTTATGTTTTATTGATGGATATAAAATTATGTTATATTATACCTATGTTATGTAGATGTTACCTAACACAAAGAAACAGATGCATTACAAAGGGTATTCGAACTGATACCCACCCAATATTCAGTAATCGGTGGAAAAACTACGAGGGTGTGTTTTCGGGTTTCGGCCCATTTTTTCAGACCAGTTTACAGAGCTTTGAAATAATTTATTTCTATATCTACGTAACTACAGTTTGCATTATTTAAGAACTCCTAGCGAGTTCATAATTTCTGTCCGTTTGTCTGTTAGTACGATATCTCAAAAACGAATGGACCCATTACGATGAACTTTTTGCAGATGGGATCAAATTTGTAGATCGGAGTTCGTGAATTGGCAATGTAAGCCAAAAAATAAGGGAGGCCCTTTTGACATCTCCGTTAGTTGCATGAAATTCAAAATTAGTATAGCATATAATACGCATGCCAAGCTGCAGCCATATACCCAGGACCTCTTTTGATAGATTTATTTAATTTTCTTTCTTCATCTGCTGCATTCCAACGAAAGAAACATTTTCCCTCGCATTTTCCCAATGAAGATGCTACAGATCCAGTACTTAACTTGCAACTACATCTAGCCATGGGGGCATTCAGAATTACTCTGTCTAGTGTATCTATAAAAAAATTGTGGGCTTTTAGTAGATACAGGAAAATTTCATATGAATAATATTTAGTTGGCGTAGGGTATTTAAAGATTTGTATTGGTCTATCCGTGTAACCCCAAATATTGAACACCTTTCGCTCAAAGAAACGTAAAAAATGTTTATACTCATTTTTCTTGATTAGCCTTGAAACTCTGAATAAATTGTGTGTCCATTTTTAAGGAGTGCATCTGCAATCTAAAGAAATTGGCAAATGGCAACCGTCATCATACTACGGTGGGTGCCAGGGCATTCGGACATTGCAGGCAACATGACGGCAGTTGACTTGACCAAACAAGGAGCCAGGCAGAAGTCAATATGACCGGATCACCGCCAGCGGGAGGAGATGAATAGGATCCATCACTGGTCGAGGGTACCAGGACAGCGACCGCCAAATTCTTCATCAAGACCACGTTACAGAATCCTAAAGAAGCTACAGCCCTCCACAGGAAGGTTTTGTAGCTCAGTGGTGGAGCGTTGGGCTACAACACCGGAGGTCGGATGTTCAAACTTGGGCTGAGGTCCTCTGAATTAGGTTTTCCTGCAGTTTTCTTAATTCGTAAGGTAGATATCGGAGTAGTATAGAACAACTTAAAACCTTCTACAGGGGCACCTCTAAAAAGCATTATGCGGGTCACTATGTAATTGAGCGTAAGCCTAGAACAAGAGGGGCAATAAGTAAATAAATAAATGAGGAAGGGTCTACGGTCCATTACAGTTCTGTTCACAAGCCATCATGAAGTATGTTGATGTGCTGAAACCTTCAGATTTCATTCATGCCTCCGAGAATGTTCTTCACGCTTCCACGACAGTCCTCTTTTCTCCTGCTTCACCGTTAGGACTTTTTTCAATCCTTCCTCGCCCTATTTTTGTTCTTCTTCGCATCCCATAATTCGCTTCCGGATAAGTCGCATCCGGAAACGTTGCTCTTTGGATATTATGCACCCTAGACCCGCATAATTAGCATTATGACCACTCGCAAATGTTTTCAGTGTAGAGTGGAAGTCAAAATTTAGACTCCATCAAAAGATACGTCTCATTCAGAAGTGTTATTTTACCTTATTATAAGCCCATTCTTATACTCTGCTCTTGATATATTCGCACTTGAATTTTTGACCAAATGCGTCTGTCCAGACGTTCCAGTTTTTCCGTGTCAGTACTCGGACCTTTAG